TTCCCAACCATGGATCATGCGTATGATACTGTGCCACATGTAGCTGCCCCAGCTATACCTGTATTGCAGACATTATTCTTCTGCTACTAGTATTCAGGACCAGCCCACAAGGGTTTTGACAGCAGGAACACCTGGGCACTAAAAGTAAAGCTCGGTAGTCGTCGGGAATGATGGCTGGTTATGGTAAGAATACCGAGTTATGGGCAAAAGTCTTGACTCTGAGCGATATTTGATCCCGCACCCCACGCTTTCCGGGCGGGTGCACTATTCATTACGCTTGCAGAGTCACTAAACTTCTCTGATTCTATAGATTTAATGACATTTATTCCTCTTTCCATCCTCTTTTACGTACCAATTTTGCAGGAACACTCTCGATTTCTTCAACTCGAGGAGTCGAGTAAAACATCTGGATGCTGAGGAGAAAATCATATTTCTGTTTGATTACTCTAGAACGTGAGTGATTTAGTTAGTACAGCTGATGAACAGCTACTCCTATTGCATTGTATGATTTTAGACCAACAAAGAGTTCCCCTGATACGGTCAGCGGTCCATTGCTGTGAGTGTCAATGATAGTCCCTTAAGAATTTTCAGAAAATTTATTAATTTTTCAGAAGGCGCTCTTCAGAAGTCATCGATTGGAGAGTGCTGAGGGACTTGGTAAGTTCATTGAAGCATGTTTGTTTCTCTTTCTATGGTCGCTCTATTCAGTGTGTGCTGTCTTCTTTTCCCGACTTCTTCATTTCACATTCATTTTCTGTCTATTTCTCTCTCTCTTATTTTTTCTTTCATCGTCCTCCTAAATACTGGGAACAGATTGGTTGGAAAGAAGGGAAGGGGAGGGGGTGGTATTTATTCGTTGGGAGAAGAAGATCGTGTTTGGCCTTGGGTAAATCTTTCCGAATGTAGATTTTGTAGATTAATCCTGTTTTACGGGCGCCATATATCTCCTTCTTTTAGTCGACCGCTTAGTAACACTACTACTCATAATTTATGTTAGTTGATCGGAGGTGTCTATCCCCCCTTCCCACCTTGACGACACGGATCATTTGCGAGAAGTAGGTAAGATGGGTAGATAACTAATTGTTCGGGAGAAATTTCAAGGGGATGGGTTATATAGGGCCAAAATTTTGCACACCCTTGGTTGACGAAGGTGTAATGGCGCATCGACTGTAAAAATGTTACTAGCCACGTTTACTTGTATGTACATTCTCTTTACACCGCGTAGATCTCACCAATCCTGCACATGAAATTTCATGTTTTGTGGGGAATCCGTGATCACAATAGCGCTCGAGGGCAATCATACCTCTGCTTGCTTGGTAGGGCACATCGTTGTTGGGGAATCCCCAATAGGGGGG